CCCCCCCCATCCTTTCTGCCCCACCACTACACTCTCTTATCAGGAACCAATTGATAAAAGCGAATGAATATATCTGATGAATGAATCAGGTTGGCGTGCTCGCGTGCAGCCACCGCCGCCGCTGCTGCACCGGATATTGAGGTGAGCAATAGTCCCCGGGGGAAAGGGGGAGGGAGGTGAGGGTGTGTCCGGGACAGCGGCACACCCAGGAGCTTTCTCCTTCCTCTCTCTCTCTCTCCCTCACCTCCTCCGTGCTCCTTCTTCTCGCCCCGTTGCTTCTGCTCGTCCTCCTCCCTTCTGCTGCTCCTGACGAGACAGTAAAAGGGCCAGGCGCTGGCCGCGGGCCAAGCCGCAAGCGAGCAAGGGGCGAAGTGGAGGGCGACGTGCAAGATGGGGGGTGGGGGGGGGGTTGTGGAGGGGACGATTGCCAAAGCAGTACGCCCGGTGGCGCCGGAAGACGACCACCGCCGTGTGGCATCCACGGGGTGGCGGTGCGTTGCTACATCCCTTTTTTGAAGGGGGTAGGGGTGGGGGGTTTGGGTGGGGGTGAGATATATTTTTAAAAACCGTAGGCAGTGACAGGTGAAGGTGATGGTCGTCTACAAGTTGACAGACGACCGGCAGAAGGTAATACTACTGCAGGATGCATGTCGTCGCGTGGTACTCACCTTGACGTAGGCGTTGCAGGAGTCGCCGCCGGGTCTCCGGAGGCCGCTGCCGCGCACCACTGAAACAACATCGAAGCGGAAGGTGAAGACGAGGACCAAGACGCGCTGCTGCTGCTGCTGCTGCTGCTGCTGCTTGGGCTGCTCGGGGAGCTGCGCCGCCCGGCAGGGGGTGCCAGCCAGCTGGGCCACCATGTCGGCGCGCCGTGTTGGGGGACGACGGCGTCGCTCACGCGTGGGGACCGCCGCCGTCACCAAGGGCGCATTCGCTTGCGAGGGGCGTCGCGACGCGCCTTAAATTTCAGGACGTGATGGGCGACTTGATGGACGCGGTGACACGAGTAACAGGTGGAGCGAGCTGTGTGTGTGTGTGTGTGTGTGGCAAAGGAGGTAAGCGCATCAGCGACTTGCTGAGGACGCGGCGGGCGCCTCAACGACGGGCACGTGCTGAGGACGCGCGGCGTGGTGGGCGCACCGTCGACGGCGGGCACGTCCCGAGGACACGACGGGCACCTCACGCGGCGGGCGGGGGCTCGTCATCGACGGATGCTACACGACGGCGGCGTCGGGCACATCATCGACGGGGACGTGCCGAGGACACGGCGGGCACCTCATGGACGCGCACGTGCTGAGGCCACGACGGGCACCTCATGGACGGGCACGTGCCGAGGCCACGGCGGCCACCTCATTCACGCCGACACGAGTCGGGCGGGGGCTCCTCATCGACGGGTACTGCACAGCACAACGGCGGGCCGCGCGGCGCGGGCGGGCGCCTCATCGACGTCCTTGCCGGAGCGTTCGGCGCGGCGCGCGCGGACTCCGGCGCGGCCACACGCGATGTGATGGCCCAGTCGTGGCCGGCGGCGTGCGGGCGGCCGCGGGCCGAGCCATGAGCTGACTGGCGTGTCGTTAGCGTGCAAGACGGAGTGGACTGTGAGCCATAGGCGGCCATGGCGGGCGCCTCAGCCGGGGGCCGGGCCGGGCCCCTTGCTGCCCCACATGCACCCCCTCCTCCCGCTCGTATCCGCCGGCCGCACCGGCCCCCTCAGCCCCGAAAATTCTCTCATATACCCGCGCGCTTAGCCGCCGACGGGCGGCTTTTGCAGCAGGCCATGAAACGAGGCGACATGAGCGGTCGCCGCCGGTAAGTGGAGGCCGTATTTTTTCCCTCCCTCAAGCTCAAGCGCTGCCGGCGGCGCAGGCCCGGGGGGAGCGTCATGAGGTAAGTCGTCGCGAGGCCGCCGGTGTCCTCGGCTGCGCCTTGGCTAACCCTTTCCGCGGCGCGCGCTTAATCTCGACGCCGCGATCTCCTCCCGCGCAATTAGGAGCGCC